AAACGAAAAAAAAAAGCGCTCTCAGCTGGCATCAGCTGTGCTTCCTGCGGAAATAAAAAAAGCACATCGTGGGCCGGGGATCTTCTAGCTCAGTGGTGTCGCTGCCTGCCTCGCGAGCTCAAGGTCCTGAGTTTGATCGCCGGTACTGAAAACAAAACAAAATAAAACAAAAAAAGCACGTCGTAATGACGGGCCCATCCGCACCCTTACGAGGAACTTGAGGAGGCGGTTGTGATCTGGGACAGCCGCGAGATGAGTGAGCTCTGAAAATAACAAGAGGCGACCGCGATGGCAGACTAGCGCGGGGTTTCCCACCCGGGAGAACTCACATTCCTGACACTGAGAGGTTACAGCACAGCCTAAAGTCTCAAAGTCTGCGTGGTGATTAACTGCTTTTATGTTTATATCTGAAGTCTCTGCAGTGCTCATGCGGATCACAGATGTTACACAGTCATCCACTTCTGCGATCTCTCTCCCACCTCCCCTCCACTCCCTCCCTGCATTTCTTTCTCATTCATTCATTCATTCAGCCCCGCAGGGGACTGAACCCTGAGCCTTCAGACTGAGCTACATCCCCAGCCCTTTTCTTTCTTGAGATAGGGTGTTGCTCAAACTAGGCTCAACTTCCTGCCTCAGCCTCCCAAAGTGCTCAGGTTACACATCTGTAACACACTGTCTGACTAACTTTTGCTCCTTTAAACCTGGAGATATAAAACTTACACAACCCCTCATGTTGCACTAGTTTCCCCAGCCATCCTTGAACCTTTGCTCTCCATTCCCCACGAACTAGCTTACTAATGAGAAGCAAACATCTGCAGCCTGTAGGTCCAATGCAGACAGGCTGTTTATAAATAAAGTTTTATTAGGATATAGCCACCTGCATTTGTTACATTTTTGGCTGCCTTCTTCCAGGGGCAGCTTCAGGTCACTAAGGCTATGTCACCAGTAGAAAAACAGTACATCCTATCTTGGACGTAGAATTTACAACCATTCTGTACAACTTTCTATCACTTGGACTGTCACCAGCTGAAATATATATGTGTGTGTGTATATATGTGTGTGTGTGTATACACACACACACACATACACATACACAATGGGGATCTAACTCCAGCCCTTAAGCTTGCAAGTCAGGTGGTGGAAACACTGAGCTAAATCCCTGGCCCTAAAATCTCTGAAATCTTGAAAGAGAGGCCAGGTTTCTTCCTTTCTTTTCTTAACCTTACTTCTACTTTTCCGTTCTTTCTTTTTTAACCTTACTTCTAGTTTTCCTTTCTAAAGGTTAAGTGCTCAAGTCTCGGAGGGCTCTTGTGCCCGCAAGGCAGGTGGCAGAACCACTGAGCTACATCCGCGGCCCTCAATATTAATTAAATTCCGAGAGCGCCACCTTCACTCGATTGGCTCAGCAAGGAGACACAAAAAGAAAACTAGGGAGGTATCTGTTCGCTGTCCTGGTCCCTGTGAGACCCCACACTGCAGGCAGCAAGCATAGGGAGGGGACACAAGGGACCAGAATCAGCGCCTGTGCGGTCCACACAGGCTGTGCACAGGAGGCCAAGGCAAGAGGGCCAGGCGCTTGGAAATGGTCTGGTGGGAGCGGGGAGAGAACGCGCCGGGGAAGGAGGGCAGGAAGAAGGCCAACTTCGGGGGCTGAAAGAAAGGGCGGGCAGGACGAGGGCGGAGCACCAGCACTGCAAACGAGAGAGGGGAAGAGAGGCTGGGCATCGTGGGCATAACTGACATTCGGGCACTTGGGAAGCTGAGGAGGCGAGTTCGAGTCCAGCCTGGGCAAAAAGGGCTGGGGATGTAACTCAGTGCGAAGGCCACAGGTTCCATCCCTAGCACCACAAAAAGAGAAAAACAAAGCAAAACAAAGCTGGCAGGGAGAAAGAACGAGACCTGCTTCACTGCCACCACCAGTCACCACCAGGCGGAAGGTTGCTGGGGTCTGCAGTTGTAGCCTCAAGCAATACGCAACCAGCAGATTTCCAAAGTCAAAACCAGGCATCCGTTTACTTGAGATTGCAGGCAGGAAACAAAAACTTTTTTTTTTTTCTTAAAACACACAAAGGTTAACTCACATGCTTATCCGGAACGGCTATCACCAAAGAGGCACAGAACAACACGTGTTGGCAAGGCTGCAGAGGGAGGACGGTCACTGTGAGAAACAGCACGGAGCTTCGCTAAAGGAGAAGGAACCTTCAGGGCTCCCCACAGTCCCACTGCCGTCCACGGCCCCAGGAACAGAGTCTGCACTTGCAAGGGTACTGCAGCCCTGACCAAGGCACGGTGGGCCGAGGTGTCTGTCCCAGAGTCAAAGCAGAGACACGATGGTGTGCAAGGGAACAGTCTCAGCCGTGAGAAGGAGTGAAGTTTTGCAGCACCACAGATGGAACCGGAAGACATTATGTTTAGTGAAATAAACCAGGCCCGGGAAGGCAAAGACTGCATCTCTTACTTGTATTGGGAAAGCTAAAGCTCCTTTGCTAGAAGCGGAGTAGAGCAGCGGAGATCAGAGGCTGGGCAGGGCGTGGTGGCGCACGCCTGTAATGCTAACACTCAGGAGGCTGAGGCAGGAAGGTCGCTGAGAGTTTGAAGCCAGCCTGAACCACACAGCAAAAAACCTAAACTAAAAACCCAAAGATCTTTCTTCTTGTGACAGACTCAAACCATTGAGTGGTCAGAGTCAACTTGCCCTAGAGGCTGCTGGCTTTACGGAGCTGACACTGTTGTCCTGCACACGTTACCCCAGCCTTGTAGGTCTGTGCCCCTGGAAAAGATCCTGGACCTGGGATGTGTGGGCTTCTGGGGCTTTTGCAGAAGCCCAAGGATGGGAGCAGCAAAGACGGAAAGAAAGAAAAGAAACTGCTGTGTTTCCGTCCTGGACCGAACAGTTTTAAATTACCCCAAGCCTGTGTGTGGCGCCGAGCAGAATCTAACCCAAGGGTTAGACAGCAAAAGGGACAAACACAAAGTCAGAGATGACAAACCTTTTGTCCCATTTTAGTCACTCGTGTGGACAGATGACTGTTTTGTTAAAACTGTAATTTGGAGTCAACTCTTTCCCAGTAAAGCAGTAAATCTGTGTTGCCTCGTCGGCAGCCTCCAGGGCAGCTGGACTGTGACGCCTTGTGGTCTGTCACATGGAAAGCGTTTCAGCCCACCCCAGCACATCAATAAAACCCTGAGGGTCTCTGTTCTGGGAGCAGCGGCTCAGCCACTCTCCTGACCTACCGCTTGACTCCCTTCAGCCAGCGACCCAGTTTGGTGGAAGCCCCTCCTCTCCCGCCGCCAGAAAACTTTGCTTCCACAGCACAGTATGGTAACTACGGCTGACTGCAGGCGTTTAGACGCACAGTCTCCTGTGTGCGGAAGGTGCCCGGATCAGGAGCAGAACTCATGTGTGGATTCATCCGCGGAGAGTTCACGTATGAGGGAGTAGCTAGGAGGGGCCTGGTCGGAGGGGGTCGCTGGGGCGTGGCCTGGGAGGGTGGAGTCTTGTCCGCAGCTCCTCCCTTCTCTCCCAGCTTCCGGCTGCAGGAGGTGAGCAGCTCTCCTCAGCCCGCCCTTCACCATGCCCTTTCTGCCTCGGAGCCAGCCAACTGCGGACTGAACCCACTGGAAACCGTGAGCCAAATAAACCTCTCCTTTCACTTTGTGAGAGTTGGGTACTGTGTTCGAGCAATGGGAAAGTGACTAAAGCAAGTGTCTCCTTCACAATAGCGGAGAAGAGACAGGAGGATCGTCACAAGTTCGAGGCCAATCTGGGCTGCATAGCAAGACCCTGCCTCAACAAAACAACTAAATAGTAGGGAGAAGTTTGGACATTCCCAACACAAAGAAATGGTAAATATCTGGGGTGATGGCGATTACTTAAACTGTCACACTGTACCCATAAGTATGTACAGTTATGTATCGACTGACAACAAAAAATATACTAACAGCCACACCCACAAAGCTTGGCCCAGCCATTTCCCTCCTTGGTAAAAACCTATGAGAATTAAAAAGAAATATCCACACAGAGCCGGGGGTGTTGATGCACACCTCTAATCTCAGCTACATGGGAGGCTGAAGCAGGAAAATCACAAGTACCAGGCCAACCAGGGCAAGGCGCTATCTCAAAATGAAATAAAAAGGGTTGGGGCTGTAGCTCAGCGGTCAGCCTCTAGTACTGCAAAACAAAAGTCCACACAAGAATCAACACAGAAGTGTTATTCGTGACAGCCGAAAGGTGGAAACAACCCGAAAAGGTATCAACTGACCAGAAGTCCAAATATGATCAGCATAATGATTACATGGTAACAACATGAAACTAAAGAAGCCAGACGCAAAAGGTTCCTTAGGATGATTCCATCTACATGAAATGTCCAAAGCAGACCAATCCACAAACAAAAGTAGTTTAATGTTTGCCAGGGGCTGGGAGAGGGGTGGGGAGTGGGGAATGTTGGCCCTTTCTCAGGTGCTGAGAACGTTCTGCATCAGTGGTGGAAATGGATTCGCAAACCCACTGCACTATCTACTTTTAAAGGGTGAATTTAGCTGGCACGATGGTGCACGCCTGTAGTTTCAGCACCCTGGGAGGCTGAGGCAGGAGGATCACAAATCTGAACTCATTCTGAGCAACTTAGCCACCAAGACCCTGTCAGAAAATAATAAATACAAAACGGGCTGGGTATGTGGCTCAGTGAGAAGGCCCTCCGCGCAATCCCCAGTGCTGCCAAAAGAAAAACAAAAAAAGTGAATCTTTGTGTAGTGCAATAAAGCTGTAAACAAAGCTTGGGTCTGAGAACAGAAAACACAACTCTGCTAGTGTAGAACTCTGGACTACAACTGCGACAGAATGCACTGAGCCCTCTTCTCCTGGCGGCTGGATTTGCTTTCCCCCGCTCCGCCCCCAGTGCCCCCTCCAAATCCCGGGAAGCCCCGCAGAGAGCAGCTGTGGCCTGAAAACCCACGCCAGACTCACCAGGCAACGCGTGACGTACGGGGCGGAGCTTGGGCGCAGTTACCAAGCAATGGCGGGCCTACCTCCTCGTCTAGCCAATCAAATGCGTCTGCACTCAGCTAAACCGCTTCACGTAGGCCAGGCGGAGCGTGACCTCACGCGCACCGTGGTCCTCGACCCCGTATCCCGCTCAGCCAATCAGAGAGGAGAGGGGCGCGCTCCGTGCGTGCAGCCGGTGCCCCGCGGCAGGGCTTCCCCGCCCCACCCCCACTCC